AATTTCATCATAGAAGGCTATAAGGTCCTTAAGTTAAATGTCCAATTTCTTTGTGAATTTTTATCACGCCATACAGATCTTTCCTTACAGAAGGTGAGAAAACACTTTAGTTATTTGGTTTATGATGCACAGAACCTCAACACTTAAAAGCTGCACATGCAAAAACCTCAGAGGGATGTTCCACAGATCACATAGAAATCTACAATAAACATGTAATGTAAATTTTTGCAAAAGTCTATACTTAGTTCAAGGAAACTTCAAGAGTTAAAGACAGAAAATAACAGTGATATAATTTGGAGCTGAGATACTGTTTTGTTCTCCACTAGATGGCAAGATTCTCTTGAGAATGAGATACACCAATAAAACACGATGTGAACCCAGGAGCTCTTGGGAGTTTTTTGATTTGGTACTGTTTTGCTGAGGTTGTTCTTGTTTGGCTGGCTTTGGTTGGTTTGTTTGTTTTTTTGTTTGTTTCTTTTAAATAAGATACAGCAAGAATAGTAAAGTTACTCTTACTAGGGTTTCTCTCCTTGCCCCCACTTTTTACAGAGAAGTGCTAACAACCAGAGCAGAGGACCTAAGCAAGAAAGTTCTTCAGGTTCTACCCAGAATAACTTCCTTCTTCACTGAAAATTTAGATGAGATTAACCATTCTGTTTTCATATATAAAATAAATGCTTAGTTTGCTAACTATAAAAAAAACTAGAACAACGATATAGTACAAATTGCTCTAAAATGAAATTTAACTTTTAGGTTGGAGCCAACATCACAACAACCATCAAATAACCACTGACTAATATCTAGCATGCTCTTTATCAGGCTGCTCAGAAAGCCAGACCTCCTGGATCTCTCTACACAGAGACTTTACAATACAAAATGGACTCTGAGGACTAGAGGATTTTTGCTGAACAGGAGGGCTCTTAAAGCTGCACCTTACCTGATTTAAAACCCCTAAGGAAGTCTGAGTGCACAGCTCCCAGTTCTTCTGAAGTTTATCAATGCTTTTAAATTTCTGTCTTCATATCACTGTGCTCAAGGCCTCCAACTTAATTTTTCCCCTGTCCTCTCCAACAAAGTTGGTTTTTTAAAACTACTTCTCTAAAAATTTTCAACATTTCATCCTGAAGTTTCCCCCTGCCCTCCAGAATTTCTCTTTTATAGATAATTAACATTTGATTATTCTTATATCAAACACACCTCAGAATTTTTCATGTTTTGAATTTTTTACAACTGAATTTGAAATTTTTGCTAAACTTTTCTACAATTCATGCATGCTTTCTTCTGAGAGCAACCAAGTTTCAAAAAAACAAACAAACAAACAAACTTTGCTTTTTTTTAAAATATTTGATTTAATGTAAAAGTGCGTGTATGTGTGTGTGGGGGGTGTTGTTGGGGTTTTTTTTGTGTTGTTGCTTTTTTTTTACTTTGTTGTTTATTTGAGGTTTTTGTTGAGTTTCTTTTTGTTTAATGTGAAATCAATAATGAAGATCAAGTCAACCATAATACAATTGTTTGGAATAATACCTAGTCAACAAGGAAAATATTAACTGAAACTTCTGGTAAACAAGAGTCAGAGCTTCTGGACAACTGAATCTAAGCCTAACGTTCACTCTATAGGTAAATCAGGTAGGATTTAGCTCAGCCATGTAAACATGTTCAACAATACAGAATTCGTTTGAGCCAGTTGTCTAGGCTTATTTTTCAATCACTGGGGAGAAAAACAGACTTCTGCAGTACTAGTCATGGGGTTTATTTTAGTTGTCTACCTTAGGACTTCTAGAACTAGGTTACATGAATCCCTCCCAGAGAGACTAAGATTCTTGCTAAGTATTCTGGGAATCACTACCAAGATTTCCTTCGACCTCCTTTCTGCAACAGAACAGAAACACAGAACTATGGCTATTTGAAAGATTCCTTTTTAAAGTGACTGCATTAACCTCCAGTGCAATGAATCTCCTTCCCATCTCTCACAGGAAAATTTATAGCTGACTATAAAGGCCTCAGTATTTCTTACTCTTGTCAAGGAATGATGAGTGATTTGGCTAATATAAACTTGTCAATATGATAGCTCCATTAAGGCTGATTGATCTGTGAGAGTCTATTGCTACCACATTAGAATTTGCAATGGAAGTTTGATTCAAATGTTTAATTTTTGGCTGTATTTATGACATCTTGGGATAATATAAAAAAAATAAAAAGGCTAAAATATTTATATTTGCCCTAAAAAGATGCAAGAGAGGACAGTAAGGAAGCAGGGAAAGGCTAACGGAAACAGGATAGGCCATTAAAATAATTTGCAGTTATAGGAATAACAACTTAGAAGGACCCAAGGAGTTGTGAGGAAAGCGACACATCTTAACCACCCAAACTGTGGATTTGAAGAGTGGGCCAGATTTCCTGTCAGAATTATCTATCAGATGGCAAAGCAGTCAAAGGACACAAGGGACCCTTCAGGCTTGTGTTACTTAGAATTAGATCAAATCCAGTGAACTACCACAGGCAGCTGAGCAAACTGTTTACAAATACGGTAATTAATTCTATCTACTACCTTCCGTTCTTCATGAATCACGGTACAAAAAGAAGATGGCAGGCAAACCCCACTTTTAAGAGGTGGGAAGCGTACACCAAAATACACATTTTAATGTGAAAAGTCTGTTAAGTTTTGAAGAAGGACCCTACAAAGCTCTACCCTACTTTGTTAGCTCCAAGGAATTCTGCTGTCACATTGAAGAGGTTGACACGTATGGGTTTCAGCTGTGTGTTATTCTGAGCAAGACACAGGCTTGTGACTAATTAAATAAGACTAGTTTTCTTCAAAATTATTTTTTTCTCTTAAAATGTTTATCATTATTATTGATGTTTGAATACTTCATGTATCAGCCCATGTTCCACAGCAAAAAATCCCCAAAGAGCCTAGTTTCAGTATGCAGTACTGAACTCTAAGAACAACAGATGGACACAACCAGATTATCTGGGTAACACGTGGAAAATCTAAACATAATAAGAAAAAAAATGTGAGACAAGCTAAGGCTTCACATAGCTGAAAAAAATGTAATGTAAGCAGAGAGAAGTATGGAGTAGAAATTGAGATGTGTACTGAATACTGAAATCAAACAAGATTTTTTAAATCTTCTTACTGTTTGACCACAATACTTCTATATTTTTTTCTTTTCACAGAATTATTTTAGTTCCATACTTTTTAAAAGATACTATATTATCATAAGGGATAAGTAAAATTTTATCTTTTATTCAGAAAGTTAGGTCCTGAACAACCCTGATCTTTTTTTCATTAAGCATCTTTAGAGCTAATAAAAAATTCAATCCCAATCCTCTTTCATCCCTCCAATGACACCTCTAATACATGTAAGATGCTTTACCATATATCTGAACCACATCAGTAGTTCTTAAAATATAAAACACTCTCATAAATTGGAGAAAGGACATTCTTAATGGCTGTTGGTGTATTATTTACATAGCGTGAAGTAAAACAATCCACGACTAATTCTGACTTGTCTTTTTTTTTTCCCAGAACTGCCACATTTTATGAGTGCTTTCACATGTAAATTTGAAAAATGAGGTTTGATTACCTTGGTGCATTAAGACAGATAAACATTACCTCAAAACTACATGGAATGTGAAGTCATAGAGTTGTCTCTCTTGTTACCTTCACTTCTTTTCTGGATAAACATCTCTGAGTGGCTACAAATTACTTGTTTACATTAAAACAACTTTTATGTATTTATTTCTGTGATGTAGGTTGTGTCTACATTCACAGTTATTAGAGAAAAGATGTGAAGGAACACACACAAAGTGGACCCTTTAAATTTTTTAACCTGTGCTACGAACACAATGTCTTAAAGAGACTATGGACTTCATAATACAGAATGGTGTTAAATAATTTTATGTAACAAGCACTGGTTAAAACACTTTCAGAAACCCAGAGGACAATCGTCCTGTCTTGTTACATGTTCACATGGCTATATTCAAATGACAAACTGCTATGTACTAGGACAACAAAAGTATACTGACATAACAACAACCCCAAACTAGGTTTCATTAAAACAAATTTTTGCTTTGACACCACAAAGTAGATTTTTTTGCTACTATGAGACAGGAAAAGTGGGGGAAAAAATAATCAAGTAGTAAACCAAGAAAAAGATGAGTGGATGATGATGAAATCTTCCCAGAAGGGGATGATCTGTAAAAAAAAACATGTTGGGGTGAAAACTGTGTTTGCAGATGTTAAACACTGCAATGGACCATAAAAGGGGAGGGGACAGAAGCAGACACGGAGAGGAAAAATGAAGGCCACCTAGATAAAACCCTCTTTCTCTCTTAAGAGCTTCAACTTGGTTGTTTGGAGTTGTTTTTCTTGATGTATCAGAAGTGGAGAGAAGACTTTAGAAACACAACGTCATTATTTAGCAAAAGTATTATTAGAAACATCAGTTGACTGGCTTTGTGGTAGTCTCAAATGCCCTCCTTGTAAAAAAAATCACATAAAAGTTGCACTGTATTTGTTTCATTCTGCCACATGCCAAGCAGATGAATGAAATTAATGCCGAGACACAAATACTCTCAGCCACTGCTTTTCCCAGGCTTCTCTCCTCTCAGAGGCCTGAGCACAGCACATGACTCCTTCTAGCATTCTTCCAAAGCCACAAGCCACACCCAAAGCCCATGATTCTTCTGCACTTAGAACACTTATATTTGGTAAACTTTCACTCTTAAGGAGGAACACGATTTTCTGGATTTGGGTATTATTAAAAGCTCAAGGAAAAATACAGCAGAACCCCAGATGGGTGTGAGATTTCACCTAAGCACTTACACGTGCCATAGGCAAAGGCAAAAATTCAGTAGCAGCCCTACCACATCCTGAGGGGATTCTGCAATGACATTAGAGCAGAGTATTCACCATTGGATGATCTCCGTAATTTGGGCCTCCCAGTGGGCCACGGACTCCTTTTTATCAGCCAGGTCTCTCATCTCTTCTTCCAGCTGCCGGTTATTCATACTCAGCCTCTCAAACATGGTGGTGAGCTGAATGAGAATTTAAACAACTTGTTAAAGGTATAAGCTGCTGTGACTCCATCTCTGTGCAGACTCCAAGCCACATGTTCTCCTCTCCCACATCACACATCAGTTTTAAAAACTGATACTATCCATCACAATGAGCACCATCGAACAATGGAAGACAGAAACTCTTCTCATGCTTTGATCTTAGCTTTACCGAAATGCTATTTTTAAGGACTAAACACTACGTATTTACTCTAACAAATTAATTAGTTTTCTGCAAATTAGTCTCCAAATTCCTCTAAAACTCTTAGAAGGTTTCTGCTTTGAAGCATAGAGGTGTGGAACATTCCATATGGAAAAAAAAAAAGTGTTAACAGAGCAAAGTAAGGGCACAAAACTTGTTATAGCTTAGAAAAATCCTGCTGAGCCTCTCCCTTATTTAGCAACCATGGAGAATGACAAGCTTAACAGATACAGGCACGAGTCAGTCCTGAGATTCTCCAGGTGTCTCACATTCCCCTGTTTTTCGTTTTACTTACTTGCAGACAGGGAAATTGAAATGAAATGACAATCTGTAAGTACAATATGTTATAGCTAGCAGTTACACCTCTTGCATTCACACAGTTGTCATTCATACATGCACATTCTACAAGACAAAAGCCACAGCTAACCTGAGTTGGAACTGGGAACTAAACTTTCATTATGTTAAAAAATTATTCAGAAAGTCAAACTGGAATCAGAGATCAGATAGACTTTATAGAAAGGCTTGCTTAGGAGAATGAAACTCATGTGAAAAGCTTCTTTTAGTACTGAAATATATTAACAAATCAAAATGATGAAAAAAACACCATGTTTTTTTAGTCCTAATATGAGTGCTCCGTTTCATATTTATCATTTAAATGGGCTCATGATTTAAATATGCCTATTTATTAAATGTCATTTGACAAGAAAAATACACAGTTAACCAAATTAAACGAAAAACAAAAAAAGAGCAAGCAGAAAAACTATCAAAGTGACTAGTCTTGTAGTGTTCTTGGACTAAGCCTATGTGTGGGCATATATAGTAGGCATACAGGCATCTTATACTGGTATAAAAATACACTTTAATTTCAACAGTGGCATGCAAACGTGCTTACTTTGAAGAACACTGTATTTTCATCATATTTTCAGAAAATATAATGCATTACAAAAAAGAATAGACTAGTTTAGCAAGACTTGGCTAATCCACAATGACCATGAATAACCTATCAAAATGAACAATAAAGAGATAATCTAAATGCATGAAACAATTATTCCTTGCTCAACACACTTTAATTAATATGCCTTATCACTTGTATTTTTTCAATATCTCAAAGTAACACTTAATCTCAATGGCTGGGAGGGGCTCTGCTATTTCACAGTAATTGACATGCAAATATCCCCTAAATAATCACATCATTACCCACCTATTTTATATCTGGGTCATACAACAAAATAATCTTTTTTGGTTTGGCTTAAGATACTGTCTAAAACTAATCTTACCAAACTGTAAGACCATCTAACTCAATTCCTATGCATACATCCATATATATATATATATATACACACACATATATATATGAATATATGTGTCTATACATTGTCCAGTTCAGATGCATGTAGACACTCTCTATTCAAATAAAATATTAATCACCACCTTGTGAAATATTTCTGTTATCAATAAAGATTTAACAATAACCAACACAGCTCTAATTGTCCAACTTCTACACAGCATACAACAGTTGTAAACTCGGGACTCAACTAATCAGCACTTGCCTTATCAAGTTCATTTGAAAGTTTTTTGTTTTCCTCTGTCAGCAGAATCTTTTCTCGTTCATACTTCTGTTTGAACTCCGTTTCAAATTCCTCTCTTTCACTTTGGCTGTGAAATAAATTAAAGCAGAATTAGAAAGTTTCCTATTCTAAATCGCATCACACTATTCACTTCAATACATAAAAATCAATGCACACAGTAACTAAAAGTATCACGTTGGTAAAATCACAGTCTATTTAAACTAAGCGAGTCATACACTAGACCTAGTATATCTTAGGACTACACAACAGTGTTGAATTTTATCATTAGACAACGATTTTTCCTTCAGCACGGACACAACTGAGGTCCACTGAGCTAACCTTTATCAATCCACTTACTTTTAGTCTTTTACTTTTTACTTTTTTTAGACTTTTAGTCTTCAGATGAATCCTTCAAACACTGAGCAGCTATAATTCTGCAGACCAAAGTGTGTGTCAATATTCTAAAATACTCAGGGTAAACGCTCAGCTCACAAGACCACCCCCTTAGACATTACAGTAATTCCAAGTTTCACACAGAATGACAGGCAAAAATGACCACACAGGAAATCAGAAGACACAGAAGTGAAACTGGAGCACTTGGGGCTTGGTCTCTGATGAGAAAAGCTTATATGGGCTAGGCTTTGGACAATTTAGAACAGCCAGAGTTTCAAAGTAGCTGTTTCCTTCAAATTTTCCCTCCTCCTGTGGCGGTCATTCAGTAGAGGAGAACCCCTGGTTGATTTTGATTAACATCAACTTTGATCTTGCACAATGAATATGAGAACCTGAAAATAAATGAAGCTGCAGGTCCTCTGTTTTCCAAAACCTATAGTAATCTCCTTAAAGGGAGTGCAGAGCAAAGTTTTATACGTCTAACTCCCACCTTACATCCACTCTTTTGAAATGCCAATTAATCAGGTAACTGGCACATAGCTCATCAGTAGGTTGATACAGATACTGTAAATACCATTCAGCAAATACCACTATTCAGCCTTAAAAAGGTTTTAAAAAGTACCCACTATAAAAGGTTTACTCCATAAAAATAAAATCCAGGGGAAATTTTGTCTTGAACATTGCATTTTTATTTTTTTTTCTGGATACTAATCAGAATTTTACATTGTGCAGCAGAAAAGTTCCATCTTTGCCTCTTTTTCTGAGATTCAGAACTACTGCAACTGCTAAAATTGAAAGAACACCCTTAAAAGATAAGAAGTGTCAGTGGTTACAGTGAACCTGGTTAAGAGTAATGCTGGTTTGAATTTCCTATTCCTAATTTGAAATTCATTTAGTGCTTCAATCACTCTTTGAAATCGAGTACAGCATGTTAGACTGGTGGTGAAGTTCTATGTTGCTAGGCATCCTTTGAAACATAACACTACATCCTAGTACAGTAACATACTATCGTTACTGTTGAAATGCCAAATTTGAAATTCACCACCACTCCTTTTCTGTATCAACAGATTCCATGCATATGATGAGCAGCCTAGGGAAAAGGCAGGAAGAGATTAAAGCATTGGCTGTCAGGGGAATTAATAACAGGTCCTGCTTCTGTTTGCAAGGCACAGATTCAAAGCTAATTTCTCAGACAGTACACTGAAATAATTTTTAATTGCTTTCTCTTATTTAGCTTTTATGGGGTTTATGGGGTTTTATTCTGTATTTGTCTAAAATTTGTTCTTTTAAGGCTTTAAGGCTAAAAGCAGCCATAAATGGTGGTGGATTAAGCAAGCTTTGGATTGGTGAAAAGAGACCTAAATATTCATAGTTTTCTGTATTTTACATTCTTAATTCAACTGGCGATTGTCACTACCCCTGTAAGTCAGATTGCTATAGGATAATCACAGAATCATACAATCACTATGGTTGGAAAGAACCTCTACGTCATCAAGTCCAACCTTCATCCCAACCAAAAAGAATATAAATTCTAAACATAGGAGAAAGTGGGTATAATCTGTCATACCCAAATATCAGCTCAGCAAACGACAGAACTGTGACAGATTCCATAGGTGTACCTTGGACAGCCAGGAAGATCAAAATAACACATTTGCTTTGAAGCCTGGCATTCTTTTCTTCCATCCAGCTTTTTCTCTCATCTAAAATTTAGCCACCTACCTGCTCTTCAAGTTTAAATAATCATACAAGATCCAGCTTTCTTTTTATCAGCAAAGTAACTGTAGCAAACCACATGCAAGCAATGTGAAATACAGCTTTATGGTATCACTTTGTCACTCCAGCTCTTTACTGCGGCTTTACAAAGTGGAGAAATATTTTACCTTACTGCTTTGAAACCAGGAAAAGTAGACCCAAAACAAACACCAGCCCTCAGGCTTCATTATATCACATAATTTAATAACAGCAAATGCTGTTCTATAAAGCCTGCTGCTTTTTAAGTCTCACATTAAATGATGGGCTTAGATGAAACCTCGAGAAACATAATTTATTTTACAGTTTCTTGGAGCTTCTTCTGAAATACATCATAATGACAACCCTAAGAAATGAAATATTGTGCTACACAGATTGCTGGCCTGATACTGTGATCCTGTATTCCCAATTTTAATAGAATGCAGCTTATAAGACTTTTGCAAAGGGCAATCATTTTGTACAGAAAGGTACCTTCTCTCCCTTGAAGACGTAGGCCATTGAAATAGAAGAAGCAAGAAAGCTTATATTTGAAGGAAACAAATATAAGAATATTCTTATATTTGAAAGAAAAAAACAACTGTTTAAAAAAAAAAATAAACAGAAACCACCAACATGCAAGTTACATTAAAAAGCACAGATTTCAGGCAAGCTGTTACTGACCCTTGCTTAGAATAACATACAGATTTTACTCTATACTATAAACCTTATGAAGTAATGCAATTGCACCCTCTAACCAAAGATTTTTTTTTTTTTTAACATGCATTAAATATTATTTTCAGACTACTACAGTTTTTTTTGCCACACTTCAACCCCACACCCAGCCCATGCCTATTGTTGAAGCAATTCCACTTATTTCAGCATAAAGCCTCCAGGTGCTTCCTTTTCAATGCTTATGCTGAACGCCTCTGTACTGGATGACTCACCAAAAGCTTTGCATGCCCAATTACAAAAGCTAAAAACAATATGCGTAAGCAGAAACAAACAAAAAAAATCCCCTCATGTTCTCTTAAGAAAAACTACCAACTACTGAGAATCGAGCAAGAGCAGCAGTTCTTCCATTCTTAACATTTAGGCTTCTCTTCTAAATCCCTCAACATCTACAGAAGTCAATCCATTGACATCCCTGGAACAGTGGACTTCTGCATTCCATGTGGTGGAGTCTTAATACTTCATGAGATTCTGCAGATCTGTTCAACAAAACCCAGTTAAGATCAGGTCTTCACTAATCACTCATCATGTGCTTGGACACCCAACTGTATGATGCCAAAACCCTTCCCCTTAGTAGCCAAAAGTTGGATGCTGGTCACGTGACACGCTTTTGTTCATGCTTTGAAACGTTCTCTTACACCCACACTTGACATCCCTACAGAAGCAGGCGGTTACCTCAGCACGCGTTCTCATCTGCATCCAGTTCTCTTTTACTCACAGAGCGAAAGCAGATTGAAAGAAGGTTTACGAAGTAGCTACCATGAAGCAGATCAGCACTGTTAGGCCTTTTGCTGTTTCACTAGCTGCACGTATAGTTACAACTTCTGTAGCTGTGCAACATGAGAATGATTCTGACCAATCTTCAAGGAGTTTTTGATCTGCTCAGTGTTTGGACGAATGATCTTTAGCAACAGCTTAGCTTGCAGAAAGAGGTATTAATGATTCTTTATTGAATATCCCTCCTCCTGAGCCACTACTGGACTGACATGCCATTAAAGGAGGATCATAGTATCACCTTTATATATCACAAGACAGCACACACAGCCTTTTGTGTATTTTTAACTCCTAGGTCAGCAAGACCACTAAGTTGTGGTACAATGAAAACACACTGCTGATGCAAGTTTTACCTTTCAACCTAGAACAAAGCAGCAGACTACTGTGTTAGTGTGTCCAGCCTATGAATAGCTGTATTCTAGGAAGAAACAGCTCATCCACTGCATTCTAGGTTGTATCATCTACTTTCTCTGCTGGAAAAAAAATTACCAGAGAAGCAGTGTTTCCACCTCTATTTGAGTAAGCTTTTCTGGAAAATTCTGTGTTTTATTTACTAGTTATATTTAAGGACTTCCTACAGATTGTTTATGCTTTCAGGAGGAGCCTCTCCAAATTTTTTCTAATAACCAATCTTGTTACAATAGTAAAAAGAAGCACCTATGTTAGAATCTATAGAGCATTCCAAATTTTTTATGAATGGAAATTAACACATTCAATTTTTTACTGTTTCCATTACTGCACCACCCAACATAAAAACTTGGGTTTATTGATGAATGCCCCAAGGAATATACTCAAGGCCAGTTATAAGCTCCACCATGTGGGAGACAAAAAAGCAGGTCTCTGACAAATTACCATGTCAGAGGAGATAAAGCAGCTTATGCCTACAGTAGTCTGATGATTGATGTTAACACTGGATGGAACCCAGCATGGATTAGTCTTAGTCTGCATTAAGTGACTGTTCCTGTGCTGGCAGAAATGTAAGCAATAGCTGATCCCTAACACATTGGTTTTGCATCAAAAGGTGAAAATACCAAACAGAAGGAAAAAAAATGTCAAAAAACTGCAACATAAGCTTCAGAGGTTGACTTACTCTGACCTGCATCTCAAGTGACACACGGTGGAATGGTCAGCCAGTGCAAGAATTCTGGTGCAAAATGAACTGCTTCAGTACAGGGATACGGAATTTTTTTTGTTCTGTTTTACTTTTAAAGGTGACTGTTTTCAACCTGGGCATCAGTTCAGCCAAAATGCATCTGTCTGCACTACAGTTAAGGAAGTGATAGCATGTTTGGAAACACAGTAGGAGATTTCAAAAGGTATTTTGAGCTTGAAGGTAAATTCCACGCAATACTCACTTTTCTCTTCTGGTTTTCTCTAACTTGTCTTTCAAAATCATGATCTCCTTCTTGAGAGCAAGCTGCTGGCTCTCTGCGTCCCGCAGTTCTTTCTTCAGACTTTTCACTTCATTAGCATGCATTAGTTCACGTTTAGATAGTTCCTCTTCATAGAAAACACTTTTCTTTTCCAGGTCTGCCTTTAATTTAGTGATCTCTTGCTGGTGTTCTATACTGCTTACCCCAGGTGAGCGACCGACCTGTTTTTGCTGAAATAAACAGCCCTAAGTTAGCAGTCAAGAATGCTGAAAATGATGCTTAATAATAACTCAATATTCTTAAGTCTGTGTTTAGAAAATATCCCATTACAGACTTGGCTTAAACACATCTATCTCATTTTATTTTCAAGGTTGTTGATCTGAACTGTACACTTTATAATTTTGTGATTTAAGTGCAGTAATAGTTTTCATGCCATGGAAAATCTGATCACCACTTTAAACATCTCTGGTCACTTTCTGACTCCCTTCACATCAAGTCAGGAAGTGACCACAGAATTAGAAGATTTTTATGCTTCCACTCACACAGTTGATAGCAACAAGTTCAAGAGACTTTCAGGGATGCAGAAGGACTATAATACACAGTCACTATATGTTTAAGCACAAATAACTTGTGGAAAACCTATACTAAGACAAGCAGAGGCTTAACTGAGGCTAAAGTCTAGCTACAGAATCACTATATGGATTGCATCAGAATATAGGCGGGAAACCTGACCTGTTTTACTTAAAGTGACCATTTACATCATAGTTGATTAATAGGAAAAACAAGCTTTAAACAATAAGAGTAATTACTTCATTTTTTGCAGCTGCATAGCTCTCTTAGTGAGGTCTTCTGGCATTTCAATAGTCTTTACACACTGCTTCAGGATACACAGACATTTGCACCAAATGCTGCACTCACTAAACTCAATGTCCTGCCATAACATAGAGGAGGAGCATGATCAGGTTCAAAATGAGATGGTGGCATGACATGCACCGACATCAGTATGGAAATACGTTTTAATGTAAACATATGCATAACTTGGGTTGGCATCTTTTCTATTTTTTTAAATTATGTAAGTAAAGGTAGTCTAAAGAAAGGAAATGATTTAACAAAAACACTGTGTTTTGAGAAAATGCAGGTAGCTAGAAAACCTACTTCCTTATGGTGACTGTCTCACACCTTTAGGAAGATTGAAGCTATTTTGTTAATTGTACTTCTATTCTTACCATGAGATACCAAAATCCTCTCAGTCACCCTTAATTAAACATGGCTTTGGGTAATTTTCTTTTGCTGATGTATGAATAGACTTTAAGAGCTAAATGTCACTGTAGAACATTCAGATGAGCTCAATTCTACCATCATGAACTCTAGGAGAAAGCTGGGACTTGCTGTTAGTTAGCATGAGCAGAACACTGCAAACCCCCCTAAACGTATGAGCCAGAGATGGGCTGCTACCACACCGTTTTCTTTAACTCATCAAAACGGCCATCTGTTTGGATCCAAGAGTAAAATCCTACCCTTAGTATGCAGAGTGGTAAATTGGAGAAAGAAGATACCATCCTAACAAGATGGTTTGGGGAAAATGAGGGGCAAAGGGGAAGTGGGGGGGAAGCAAGGAAAAAGAGGGAAAGCAGGGGGAAAAGGGGGGAAAAGAAAGGACGTATAGGAATTCTCTTTTACATCCAGGCAGTTAACTACTGAACTTGTCTGCTGCTACCCAATGTGCCAAATTGCTTACACATATATGGCAATGGAGCACATAAAAAGTTTAGGCTTTGCAACATCATCTGGAAGGTATCTGAAATGTTTTAATGGTTATTTGACTTTTTTCCCACAATGGAAAGATACTACTAAGACCATAAGACAGATGGTGCAGTACAAGAGGAAGCTGTATAGTACTGTACAGGGACTTACAGAGCTAGAGTAATATAGTAAACAGAGAATATATTTTTAATTGTTGTAATCACAAAGTCCAAATATTTGTTTTCATCTATGCCTGTTTTAAGTGGACAAATGGTGCAACTGAGACATAATGCTTCTCCTGTCACACAGATCCTTACTTAGATGTTGTTTAATGCACCCCAGGATGCAGTTTGCCCTCTTGGCTGCCAGGGTGCTGCTGAATCTTATTTAGCCTGATTTTTTTTGAAAATGCACATACGTGACATTCACTGGATCTCCTTTGTCTATACACTTACTGACAACTTTGTAGAATTCCAGCAGATGATGCAGGACTTGGCTGGACAGAAGGCACATGCCTTCTGTCCAATAGGCTCTGCTTCATCTGTGAGCTCACTGACATTCTTTACTATATCCCCTACCCTTTTCCTAAGGATGTCACACCCACTTCTCTGCAGTTCCCTGGACCTTCTGGATGGGAGTTGTGGTGGCACAGTGGGTTGTCTGTAATAAGAGGGTGCAAATCTTGGCTCTCGCTTCTCACCCGAGTTCCTTCAGAACTCCCTTGGTGAGGCCACCAGCTCAACTGACTTCACATCAGACTCGCTTGCCAGCTCCAAGGCTTTCTGCACATCACACTCAGACTGACCCAGCTCATCCGACCAACCTGCTGCAAAGAACAGGCTCTGCATGGCAATGTCCTCTGCTTGAGCAGTGGAGTCTGACACACCAAAAGCTGAGCATTTCTGCCACAGCCCTATCAACTCAGATTACCTTTTTCATCCCTGCCAACAAGGGCAGGGCCATGAGTTTCCTACAGTGGCTTTATGCATTTGATTTAAAGAACCTCCTATCACCATTCTGAGTATCCTTTGCAAAGTGCTCTCTAAATTCTCCTTATTTAGCCCTCAACATCCTGTTTACACTTAACCTGCCATCATTTGTGAGCTTTTCCATTCTCCTCATTTGGAGAAACTTCCCTTTTTTTTTTTTTTTTTTAATATTGACTTTTTCTCTGTTAGCCTCCTGAAGTTAACTAAGGAGACACACAGAGCTTTTACTGAATGGATAATGCAGTATCACAACAGCTGCATATGATCCAGTGTGCTTACTGTACTATGAAATATTACTAAGAAAGCTACAAGCCCCCTTTCCTCTTCTGTTAAGCTTGTCTTGTTAGTGTACCATTTATTCTCAATAGACCTCAAATAAATACTTCTCGTCTCTTAAGCCATCATACAAACTCTTTGCTTATGGTGAAAATACATAAATGGAGAAGAAATGCATCTTAATTTTCAGATAACAATCTGCATCCACAGCAGTAGAAACTTAATAAATCCTAACTTCATATTGTCTTCCCTATTTTCATTTGATAACAGAAGGCAAAATAAAAGAATTTTTGCAAAAAAGATCCCAAATTTTATGTGCAGTGATCATGGTGACAGACATCCCACAGGATTCGAATAACCACCCCCCTGTTATTCATGTAAATTAAGACCAGAATAGGCTTAATCTGACATTTTCCACAAAAAGTTTAGAATTATCCTACTGGATGAAATGCTGGGCACAGGACTTTTCTGTAAATGAACAGCATTCCTCAAGTGTAAATGAAAAACGTTCTCATTCAGTTTTTGAGAAAGTCTTAATTTTTTTGAGCAGTGTAAAATGCTAAATCATAGAATAAAGTAACAGTTAACATTCTTGGCTTACTTTAATTTCTGTTCCTAAAAACATGTGTGAGTAATCTCATCAACATATAGCGTCTTCATGCTCAGTGCTGTTCTTGTGTGAAAACGTCTCAACTTCTGGCTGAGAGGCAAAATACACTAATACTTTTCCTTTACGGTTACATCAGTTGAAAACTATTGTGGAGGAAAACATCCTCCTTTTGACTGACACACTGAGGAACAACACAGTACACAAAATACCTATACAGAAACCTGCACAGGCTGCAGGTTTATCTTCAAATACTCAATCTTCTTACACTAAAAAATCCAACCTGGTTTTAACAGATGAAGTTAAACAAAGTAATGATGGAAGCAATTTAATAGAAAACCACAGATTATTAAGAATTACTTCACTGAGCAGTGAACACGGTGGCCTGAAAGTTCCTTAGGCAAATGTTCATTTTTCTGGACAATAACACAGTGCAATACTTGCATTAACAGTCAGTAGCAACTGAGGTGACTAACTGATAAATACCCTTTTGTCCTACATCTGAAAGCAATCAGACAGCCCCAAGTCCTAGCTGACTAGTAAGTTTGCAGGTGTTAATACCAAAACAGACTAACCTTTAGCCCTTCTACTTCGCTTTCCAACTGTTTAGAGTACTGTTCGCTCCTCTCTCGCAATTTCCTGTCTTTGGATGCCTCAGCAGCTGCAGCTTCAGCTTGGACTTCCAGCTACAAAATACAGACGTTTTTAATAGGTAGGACTCTTTTTGTTTTAAAAAAAGAAAATCTATTGATGGCTTTCAATATAAGAGATAAATCTTCAGCACTAAAATGAACACTTCGAATTCTTAGAAAACAAACTGTTCGAAACAGCAATCAGAGAGTTAAACATTTACAGATAACATCCAAAAATTACTTTGTCAGAAAGCCTTACTTTTATAAAACTACGATTTCATAGATTCTAAACAGTCTTCTCACCACTTACTTCTTTTTTAAGTCTCTCTGTTCTGCGTAACTCTTGCCTTAAACTTTCTACTTTTTGCATCACCACTTCCATTTCTTCCTCCTTATCTCGGAGCTGGCGGGCAAGCTTTTGTTTTTGAGAGTGCAAGTCTGTCAGCCGCTCGTTCATCTCTGAGAACTCCTGCATTGCCAATTTCCGCTGGCTGTGTGCATCTTTCAGCTCTTTGGCTTGGGATTTTAATCTGTCACTAGACTCTGCCAGTTCCTACAGTTTAAAAAAAGAATTAAGTAATGAACCTAGAAAGCTGCAAGGCCAATCCTGTCTTTGGATGCACATCTAACACCTGCTCCAGAGTGAACAGAAACTACATATTCATTTCTTTTAATGAATGCTTCTACAATACAGACTGTATGCCTCCACAAATAAGGAAAGAGGCCAGGTTTTACACTACTAAAGTTAGTAAAACTGCATAAATGTCAACAAAGTAGGAATTTACTCCATTATTCTATGTTAAATACAAAGGTTCTTGAGTACTTGCATTAAAATATAAAAATACCTTGCTTTCTTAATTAAAAAAAAAGTCATTAACACAGTTTTTAAAGAACTCCTTAAATGAATAAAAATAATAGTATTTCTCTCAATTGCTAAATGATTTTTAAAAGTTTTTGCATTAACCAAATGGAAAATTCTGCTCTATGAAAATTTCTGCTTCAGAAGTTTCTGAAAGGTGACCTGCAATGGTGAATATGATTTCCATACACTGAACCATAATATCAAATATTACAGAAAGTTTCAGGCAACAAAACACTGTAGTGATTAACAGCAATAAATGGTAATAATTCTTTTAAAAGAACCCACATGAAACAACACTGCTAGTGCTGTAGTAACTCCACAGCACAATACCTTCACAAAACTTGCTGTGTCCTAGATCTGCTGCTACACTACGAATGAGGGATCACAACAGTTTAAATGTTTTAATGATGTTTGGCCAAACTGGGCACAACAAAGAAGGAAAAGGCACTCTGAGGATGAAAAGCAGAGCAGCAGGAAGAATTAATATTTGGCACTGTTGACATCTATACAAATCACAAAGCATTTTCTACAGTGGTTAAGAAGAGGTCCTAAACACGACAAGTTGTTCTAGAAGAGAGAAGGTCTTTCTTGGACAAACTGGCAGCTTTCAAAGTTTTAAGACACTTAAGAGTTAAAAGAAAGTGTTAAATACAGATGGAACATCAACTTAAAAGTTTGGACCCTAAGAACCTGGGCCAATATAATCATGATGAGAAACAGGCTAATGTACTTCACACCTGACTACAGGTTGATTTAACCACGAATACAAAGAAGAGCCATGAAAGGCAGTATGTTACAGATAAGAAAATAACAAACTGGCGAGACAGAGAAGAAGAAATAAAGCCCAGTATTCCTTAACTGCAGTTATTTCAAATTACTTTTCAATCTTCATATCTGGGCCATTTTTCACATCTCTCTTCTGGAAACACTTCCATGACACAGCCTTAGTCCTCTATTCTTAACACTTTTTTCCCCTGCTACACTCTCGCCCATACTTCAGATTAAATTGTCTGGAATAGTTCTTCTCTATTCTGTCTTCTAACCACTAACATCATCACCTTAATCTGAAGCTATAAAACCTTCTTGGCAGCCATCAAACAGTTTGAATTATGGAGTTGTTCACTGTCTGGAAGCAGACACCTAGAACCACCCAGCAGTCATACAATGCATTAAATAACATCCTTGTCTTAAAAAAAGATGCAGAAAGCAAAGTAGGTCACATTACACATTTGTTATCTGCTCATTAATTTTACACTTGAAAGTAATTTCAAGCAAAATGAACACAAATAAAATGGTCTTTAGGGTTTAGAAGACTTGCTGACCAAATGCTTTTACCTTATTAAGATCTTCCCTCTCTTGCTTCAGCGTTCTGACCTGTTTCTCAAATGCCTTTATTTGTCTGGAAGCGTCATCCAACTCCCGCCTTGCAGTGCTGGCCTCTTCAAGTTGCTGTTCTAGCTGACCAGAGTCTAGAAAAAGCAGCAGGAGGGGGGAAAAAAGCATTATTCTAGAATAGCCTAGTCTAGCTGCTTGAAGCCCTTTCAGTATTCATTTCAGTTTCCATTTACTGACAAAATAATGCAATTTTTTTCTGGTTTTGAATAGGGAGCAGCTTGTTTTAACTGCTATTATCTGCTTTTAACAAAACAGAATGAAAGGTCACAGCCAACGGGACATACAAAATGATTTCACAACACAGAGAACGATAACAACTTGCCTTTTCATGTTATAATAATCATGCACTATACATAATTGTGTAACGTGTGCTTTAATATGACCTATATGACTTTTATGCACTGTGATGTAATATATAATGCATCTTTTATTACACTGTAATCGTAAGCAGTCTCCCCCCAAACTCCCCCAGAAAAAAAAACAGTAAAAGTAATGGATCACTCAAGAGCTGGCAAGCATTCTCCTGCTGATAAGTAAAATATCTGAAGTCAATTTTAAGTGTATTTCTAGTGTGACAACCATTTGAGTTTATGTGATCTGCTTTATTACTGCTATAAATACAGAAAAACTATTACAGGCAGTTTCTTACTGTCAGTTACACAGTAACAGTATATTTCTAGGCCACAGATACATAATGTCATAGCAATATGCTCAAATGTTACAACATGAGATGTTGAAATCCATAAAATATATCAGCTGAAAATTTCTAGCTAGTGGATGGGTTTCTGCCCCTTCTAGTCCTTCACTTAAAACCAGGAATTCAAAACAAGACATATATGAATCATAGAAGGTAGGTTAATTCCAGGTTCTATGCAAACACTGGACATTTTGCCTCTGATTTCAGTTGTGGCAGGCCTTCAGACCGTATTTATTTACCCACAGAATGGGAACCCATCTATCCTCTTAGTAAGAAACTTTTACTACATTTTCATAAATGTAACCCTAAGACTGGTGCTTGAAAAAATCAGATATAAAACCACAAATTTCTAAGAGCTGTAATTTCTGAAACACAAGAATTTAATAAGCAAATGAATACCATTAGTTTATACTAATACAAATATTCACTATTGTTTTAATTGATTGACTCTTGTTTAAAAATTTTAAAGAATGAATTTAAATAAGAGTTGTAGCTTAAAGACAGAAATTATTAACTGCCTCTCTTATGTAGTCTACTCTGAAGTCACCAGCAGAAAGTTAGTTTATATATAGCTCTGCTGAGCCAAGATAAATTTCTCTTCCGTGCATGAACTGGTTTGTTCCACAGCTCTGTTTTCTTCTTCCATTGCTGCCCTTTACATATTTGGCAATATTAAAGATTCCTCAAAGTTTTCTCCTATGTAACTCAGTGAACAAAAATTATAACTTTGACCTCAAAAATTGAAAGCATATGCTAGCTTGTCATTTCCTGGAAAACTAAATAGACAAGAAAAATGTATTTTTCTAAGGTTCCTCCAGTGACGCTCCAGAATTTGACACAATTTTTTTTCATTTTTTATTACCATTTTAAGCAGGTGTTTACTTTTACAGCTCCAGAAGAGGCAGTAAAACAGGTTAAAGAATATAACCAGAAGCTAGTTGTGACATACGTGTAGTAAGTGGTAATTTTCCATCTAATACCACCCTTCTTGTTGCTAAAATTTTAGCTAATACATGCAAACACACACTGTAGGATGTTATTACATTACGTTTAGTTGCCCAAGACATGAGCCCAAAGCCTGAAGTTTAACTCTGCACCTGAACCGAACCTTCTTACAGCTCATCAGATCTACACTTGGAAAGTTATGTATTTTGAAGGCCCAGAAAACTTGGAACCAGCTCCCCTACATTTGGAAGTGTTCAGGTATGACCATCATTTGTTTTGTGCCTGTACCCTGTCATTAATTTAGTTTCAAATATACCTCACAACAATAAAAATATAATGTTCTCTTTTCCCAATTTTATCAAATTAGCTTGTATTAGTTACAACTCAAGGCATAAATGTCTTCTAACTAATGGCTGTATTGTCTGGACCAGACAAGGCAAACAAGTATACACTGGAAAAGATATATGCTGACTGGGGATGGATTAGACAACTCCACATCTTCCTCATTTGGTCACACTATTCACTTCCAACCCAAAAAACAAATGCACATATTGTACCTGGGAATAAACATACAAGTATATATATGTGGCACAAAGCAGAAAATTCTTAATGGTTACTTAAGGGAAAACCTCAATAATAAAGGCCTTCACCAGACACCGACTTCTTTTAAATTTGAGAAAGTCTATCAGCTGTTTTAGAGAATGTTCCCACAACTATTTTTTTTCCTTTGGTTTTCATTACTAATGAAGAGAAAAATATCTCCAGTAATGAACTAAATCCACGCTGCAGCTCAATAGCCAAGAATAAAATATAATTTAAAGTTGATCCTGATGCTTTTCTAGGAAAGGCTGGTCCCATTCAAAAGCTGTTCTTATCACTGAATCATAGAATAGTTCGGCTTGGAAAGGACCTTAAAGATCATCTCGTTCTAACCCCCCTGCCATGGGCAGGGACACCTCCCACTAGTCCAGGCCGCCCCCGGGGGCGGGGACCCCCCCCACTAGTCCAGGCCGCACAAGGCCCCAGCCAGCCTGGTCTTGAACACGTCCAGTCATGGAGCATTCACAGGGCAACCTGTTCCACTGTCTCTCCACCCTCATAGTGAGAAATATCTTCCTCATTTCTAACAGAAATCTACCTTCTTCCAGTTAGAACCCACTACCCCTCATCCCATTGCTACAAGCTCTCATAAAAAGTCCCCCCCCAGCTTTCCTGTAGACCCCCTTCAGATATTCAAAGGCCTCACTGATATCTCTCTGAAGCCTTCTCTTCTCCAGGGTAAACAACCCCAATTCTCTCAGCCTGCCTTTGCAGAAGAGGTATTCCAGCCCTCTGATCATCTTTGTGGCCCTCCTCTGGACCTGCTCCAATAGGTCCATGTCCTTCTTGTGCTGGGGGCTCCAGAGCTGGATGCAGTACTCCAGGTGGGGGTCTCACCAGAGCAGAGGGGGAGAATCACCTCCCTCGATCTGCTGGCCTCACTTCTGTAGATGCAGCCCAGGATATGGTTGGCTTTCTGGGCTGCACACACACATTGTTGGCTCACGTTGAGCTTTTCATCATCCAGCACCCTAAAGTCTTTCCCCTCAGGACTGCTCTCAATCCATACCCCACCCAGCCTGTATCTGTGCTTGAGATTGTCCCAACCCATATGCAGAACCTTGCACTTGGCCTTGTTGGAACTTCCTGAGTTTGGCATGGGGACACTTCTCAAACCTGTCAATGTCCCTCTGAATGGCACATCCCTTCCCTCCAGCATGTTGACTGCACAGCTTGGTGTCATCTGCAAATTTGCTGAGGGTGGCCTCCATCCCACTGTCTGTGATGCTGATAAAGATGTTAAACACCACCAGTCCCAGTAACAGTCACTGAGGAACACCACTTGTCACTGACTTCCACTTGGACATTGAGCCATTGACCACAACTCTTTCAGGGCAACCATATAGCTCCACCTTTATCCACTGACTGGTCCACCTGTCAAATCCATGTCTCTCCAATTAGAGAACGGTATGTCATCTGGGACAGCATCAAACACTTCACAGAAGTCTGGGTAGAAGATATCAGTTGCTCTTCCCTTGTCTGCCGACACAGTATCTCCATCACAGAGAGCCACCAAATTTGTCAGGCCTGACTTGCCCTTGGTGAAGCCATGTGGTTGTCACCAATCACCTCCTCATTTTCCATGTCCCTTAGCAGATCCTTCAGGAGGGTCTGCTCCATGATCTTGCCAGGCACAGAGGTGAGACTGACCAGCCTGTAGTTTCCCAGCTCTTCCTTTTTGACCATTTTGAAAATGGGGGCTATGTTTCCCCCCTTTCCGGTCAGTGGGAACGTCACCGGGCAGTAGATGTTGCTTTCGCATTCTTGTAAGATGTTGCTTTTCAGTGGTCTCAAAAAGTCAAAACCAGAGCTGAGGACTGACGCAGAACAGAGGTTTCTGATCATGTTTTCTTTTTCCTCATTACAATAGCAAGTGGAGGGACATTTAGCTGGAGAAAAACTTCACAAAAACCTTTGTCCTGACATAGTGCCAACATGGCACCACTCAAATCAGAGTGATACTCCTGAGCTAGTTAAGCCATGTTCACATCCAAAACTAATGCTTATGGTACAATACAAAACTGCTGCATCATGCCAGAGCAGCTGGCCAACTGTGTAACAGACTTTTTTCAGACTACACATTTTTAACAGCATATCATCTATGTGCTGCAGTGTGCAGTTCACACACAGAGTGTTCTGCTCCATAACGCAGCAGCAGAGTCTAAGCATCACTTCCAGGCATTCTGCTTGGTAAGGTCAACTTATTCTTTCTGTGGGTGTCACTGCTGACATTCCTGACACTTCTAGAAACAGAATGAAGTCTTTTCACAAATACAAATCAGAATATATCCTTTCTGTAGTTTCCTCCAACCTTTCTCTCCTGTTATTTTTTTTAATCTTTGCCACAGGTAAGATATGGACATATAGAGATCCATCTACCAGTACTTTTGTCTGATTTTTTTCTCACATACGATGTAGACATTTTCCTATCTGGATTGACAAGAGGAACCAGATTTGTCGTCCCTGTTTCTCTGGTTCTAGTCCCAACACCTAAAAGTGTTGAGAAATATTGTGAATTTTCCTAAATAAAAACCATCTTGCTGTACTTCCTTTCTTACTGAAGATGTTTCTGATACTGGGCTACATAGACCTTTGCTTTTTGAACTAGTTTGGGATTTCTAAAAAAAGGCAGCATGACATTAATTAAAGAAAATCAGCTCTTTACCTGCACAGATTTCAAAAATACTTTCCAAAGTTGAAGTACTGAGATAATTTGATAGCCATATTTTTTAGTTACAACAAAATCTTCATGAACTCTCAGAAGCAAAGAAATTAAATGGAAAGGAAATAAATGCTTCATTTATCCTGTTACATTTTTTTTTGGCATTAATATTTATAACATACCTGTCACCTGTTTCTTCAACTTTTCAATTTCTTCTTTCAAACTTTTAATTTCTAAATCTTTGCTTGCTGTTATTGGGCCATCCACTGTTGAATACTGCAGAGCCTGGACTGTCTGAGTAGACTCTAGAAAAAGATGGAAGAGAGAGGGACAAATTACATGCCTGATAGCTGGGAAAGTAAAAAAGATATTACTGATAAAGTAAGACATGCCAAAAGACCCTCCACTGAGGATTCTACAATTTATAATTTCCAAGTATTAAACACCTATTTTTCATTAATTGTCTGCTGGACAAATTAAGTTCTTAGAGGTTTTAAGAATTAATTCTTTATGCCATAGTAACCAAGGCACAGTGTGAACAAACTGAGCGTGTTATAAGAAGTTGCATACAGGGGATATTTCAGGCATAAGGAGTAACATAAGTTTAATTTGTCAACAGAAATAAGCAAGATAATTCTCTTCTGCTAGAAAGCATTTCCTGAGGTATATTTAATTTTTTCCACATTATAAACCATAACTTACAAAGCTGTAAGCTTCTCTAAGTCAAAAAAGTGATTGAATGATTTTCTTTAATGACTATACCTTGCAGTTTTCTACTAAGTTCAAGCTTTTCCTGTTCTAGACGTCTTATTCTCCTCTCATAAGCTTCTGTTGCTAAACTATCCTCCAGAGTTCTTTGAATGCTGGCATCAAGATCCATGGAGGGTGGTCCAGCTGTCAATCTTAGACAGCTGCGGTCTGAAAGCACACTGGGGGGGGGAAAAATTAACAGTACTGGATTTTACAACAGGCTGTGTTTAAAATATTTTTTTTTAAATCAACCAACAAATAGGATTTTTTAAGCTGTTATTTACTATGTAGTTTATTACACAGTCATATAATACCTTGTTAGCATGCGTTCATTAAAAATTTGATTTATTTTTACCTAGCATGAGTAATCTCCTCAATGCATTTTTTTGTTATATAAAAGTGAATGAACTCCTGATTAAAAATTAACATTATGGACAGTCTACGTTAGCCAGATAGTAAAAACCAACCATCTAGATAGTCAGTACAATTACAGTAACAGTTTATTTAAAAATACTTTATCAAGTCTCCTGAATACTTTGAAGACAACAATCACAACAGATGATGTGAAATTATCACATGACACTAGGGCACGTACGCAACAGAAATGCTGTGTCCCTGATTCTGTGGATACCCATGTACACATACCACTACTTAGGCAAATAATCCTTTTGACAGGATATGTCACAGGACATGTCACATAACCAGCAGCAAGCACATGTGTTTGCAGAAACACAGGCCTGGTTTTTCAACAGCTGCAAACATTATTTGTTTTCATAAACAATCAAGAAGCATACATGGACTTCCTTCTAATGCCTTAATTTAGCAGTAGTGATTAATGTGACACCACATTAATACCAAATAGCAATAAAAGTGTTTGTGGGATTTTTTTCTGTTTTTATATTTCCATTCAGACTTACAAGAGTGTCAAAGGACAAGGAAAAAAACAAACAAAACATTTTTAAAGCCAAATAATAAGCCAAGTTCTCTATGGGTCCACACATCTGGTCTTAACTTTGTCATCTGCAGTTCATTTCATATGTTGTGTGAATACCACCTTTCTCAACAAAACTCCTTTGAACACAGGTGCTGGCCTTTAAATTCATGTAAATTTTACCTGTACAGAGCTCATTCTTTTGGACAGACAGAATTTTAAATATAAACTAAATTTAGTTAGTTTAGAAGTTTAGTTATAAACAACATTATCTGGTATCTGTTTGCAGCTGGTTTCAGAGATAGTCACTTAAGATGTTACACAACTATCCTACAGACAATTTTGGAACTCCTGAACTTACCAGCTACTTGTGTATGTGAAACCCACAAATGGTAAATGATGGCCAGAAAATGCAGTGTGGGATGGTGGAGGCATTGTTTCCTAGAAAAACAATAGGACAGTTGAGTAAGTAATATCCTACTGGACTTAAAAGACTTTCCATTTCTACTGCATGTGAAGTGTTAGCAATTATATCGTACTAACCATAGTCACAGTCACCCTTTCATTCCCTCTTACACTCCTCTCTGCTATTTAGTCAGCAGGGCTCCCTGCCTGTAGATTTATCAACCTCACTTTGGATCAGACTATCTCTCTTTGGAGAGAACACTAGTCAGACATTTACTAGAAAGAAGTAATACAACAGGGTTTTCTAATCCCATCAGTGCTTTGCCCATTTCTTCCTTCAGTGCTCCTTTTTCCTGCCAGACCAAGAACCACAAACCAAGACAAACCTTTGAGCTTCTCCTCATGCTAAAATAACCCTGTTGTTGTATTATTTGAACCATTACTAACTTCTAATATTCTTAAATGTCCGGTGAAAAGTTTCGTATTTAATCCCAAGATGCAAAATTTATGTTGCTGTACTAGAGATGACCCTAGTGGTCATCAGAATAAAGTCCCAAAGATTATTACGCTAAAAGTGCTAGAAGGTTCCAAATTTTAAGAAAAGGTTAACAAATTATTAAAAAAAATAATAATAATAAAAAAACACCCCACCAAAACACCAAACAAACAAACAACAAAACAAAATAAACAAACAAAAACAAACACAACACACCCAAACCCCAAAACCAACACGCAAACCAAACAACAGACAACCAAAGAGACAGCTAGATTATGTAACTACATCAAGTCTAGATTACTGGCCATTTTGGAAACTAAGGACAAGATCATATTACAAAGCCCTACCTTTCCACTAATTGGTACTAAAAGTATCATTTATTACACACTATGGTTAGAAAAAGTAGAATTTTTCTCCTTTTTTATTTGCATATTTCATAGATTCAAATTTCAAAACTGTCTTTATGACCAATTTTAAAACACAAACCAAATACATAATTGTGTGATTTTAACAGTCCATATCACAGTTTTCAGCTGCCACACAGGTAACTGAATGTTAGTTCTAAAATACCCTATCTAGTGATTATGATATAAGGTACTGTAAAAGAAGTTGCTTCTGTGTTTATTCTTTGGCAGAGATCAAAATAGTTATTTTTTTCTCCGTGTTTGTATTCAACCTCATTATCATAGTGACAAAATGATACCTGAATCTGTATCTACCATGCAGGCTACTGAGGAAACTGAGGAAAATATTACAAAAATGCAGCTAGACTGATTTGCTTAATTTGCTTATATGAAAGGTCTCCGAGACCTACTGCTCCACACCACGTATGTCTACCATTGCATTTAACCTAGTCCAAGAGTTTTTTTGTGTTTTCTTGTACAGTTGGAAGAAAGGGAATGCAAATAATGCTCCTCCTCCCTCTATCAATTCACATTGCCTATCACTTAGGTGCAGGTCCAGGAAGCTCAGTGGAACTGAGATACGAAGGCAGTTCAGAAAACAAAAGCAAAAACGGTGAAAATGCTTCACCTCACATATAGACAGCAGATTTCTGTGTCTTTCAACAAACAAACAAAAAAGTATTTCCAAGGACACAATACAAGGCATTCTTCTAATGATAAGACCTTTATCATCTGTCAAAGTTCCTGTTCAAAAGCACAGAAAGACTAAGGTTGTTAAAAATCAATAGTTGCAAAGCTTTTTAAGCAAAGGCAAAATAACTTCTTCTGAAGGAATGACTGTATTGTTCCTCCTAAATTTCTCAAAACTCTTCAGAAACAGACTGTAAAGATTTTAGTGGGAATGATCTGAATGGAATCTGACAGAGATATGAGCAATTAGTGCACAGCACTACAATAAAATTCATTATGCAAACTTAGTACAAGTCTCAACAATGCTCTGCTAGAAGCCTTCCAGATTATCTACATATAAATATATTAATTCTTTATCAGATATGGACACTAAGAACTTGTTCCTGCTGTAACATATGAACCTGTTTGTTAAATACATGCAAAGTTATGAAGAATTTATAAAATTGAAGCTACCCTTACACATCTATATTTGGAGGATCAGCCTCTGAACCATGAATGTATTCCCTCCACAGCTCTTTAAAGCAGCACTTATTTATTGTTTATGCAGAACACAGTGAACACTGAAACTCCCATTTACATATTCTTCATTATAAAGTATGATAAAAGGGAAGATTTGTCAAAATGTTGATTCCGTACTTACAGAATTTTTTAAGCAATCATCATCCACATCGAAGTTTGAGGTATCAGTGGGGCTGCTGACCTCTGGGATATAAGGTGCCTCACAGTTTCGAATGTTGTCCCAATCTATCCCAGCAAAAAATGGGTGGTTCTTGAAGTCTTCTATCCCATTTTGCCCAAGTCGATGCTCTCTACTACAAATGAGCCTTCGGATGAGGTCCTTTGCGCTTTCAGAGACGTCTGTCACTTGAGCAGGAAACTGAAACCTCTCCTTAAAGATCAAAATAAGAGAAAATAGTTTATTACTAAGAAAAAGTTGGAAAAAAACACACTTCTTTGTGAAAATCATTATCCAGAAGAAGAAATGTGCAAATACTCCAGTTCTTAAATACATGCAGAACGTTTTCTAGGAAAAAGACTTCTCCAAAGGACAGAAACTATTGAAATTTTTTTGACTCCTGGTTTTTCTTATTTACATTTCTCTTACACTGTTGAATTCTACAGCTACCTACATGTGGAAGAACATTTAAGACTCTTCTGCGTAAGCCAACCATGGATCCGCCAGAAGAAAGTAACACAAAAGGAGTGATGTAATGTAGCCAAGATTTACTCCACAGAGTGAACTAACAGCCATGCTTCAAGTTCCATATTTTTAGTTTTGAACTGCTTTAGTCTAAAGCAAAGCCATCTGCAACCCATAACCATCAACCTTACTAGATGGAAACACATTTTTATTTTCCTCTACCTTTATGAACATTAACATAATTAGTATTTAAAAATTTGGTTTTAAATAAGTCTTCAAGTTACCCCCTATTACTTATTAAACTTGAGCTTAGAGAGAGACAGAAAGAGAAAGTGCACTAACTTTGTGGTTCATTATTTTCCCATAGGTCTCCACCAGGGACTCAGCATAAAAGGGTGTTTCTCCATAAAGCATTTCATACATGCAGACTCCCAGGGACCACCAGTCACACTCGGGCCCATACTTCCCTTTTCCATCTTCCATGGCCTGCAAGATTTCTGGAGAGATGTAGTCTGGCGTTCCAACTGCCACTGAAGACTGGACCTGTAGAAGTTACATTTCCAGGACTAAAATCAACTTCCATTGTTACAGACACTGTCGTTTGTGGTGTTGGGCGTATTATCTATAAATGTAGCCTGGTGTTTTCGTTGTAACACTATCAACTACAGGCAGGCAAAGGCTTCTAAATTCATAAAGAAATACTTGAGCATCCAAGCCACTACAATAATAGGCAACCCAATAATATCCTTTTGCTAAATTCTTACAAATATTTAATAAGAGAGACCACAAAACTGTCAATTCTTATGCTTAGAGATGTTAAGCAATTACAGATTAAGTAATCACATATACTAGCACAAATACTACATAAAACTATGAGATATGATTAACATACTGGAACTACATTCTAGTCACACCTACTAAGACTGCGCAAGCTTAAAAATACTACAATTATCACATCACTATTTTTCAGTATCTCATCCTACTTATACTACAGCTTACATTTTCACTAAAGATTAGAGCTCACAGCTCAAAACTGGAGATTTATAGTTGATTCTACAAACACCTACTCAGTCCTGATAGCGCAGCTTCTCTATTCATGAGGTAGCTACATGTATCTGAAAAGCTTTTAATATACAGTAAATCCAAGCAGTGTGCTGTCACATTTTCAGCCACGGTTAGTTACATATCAATATCATCACAATTCCATTTTGTTTAACAAAAGACACCTTTTCTCTTTATTAGCACACATTTTTAGTATCTAGGAAAGGACTGAAGAAAATGTTCTTAGGAATGTATCATTCTTTCTAATTTACCGTTCCATCTTCCATCAGTTTCAGACAAGAACCAAAATCTGCTAATCGGATATGTCCATTCATATCCATCAAGATGTTGTCTGGTTTAATGTCTCTGCAATTAAAATACATTTCAGAATTAATACAAAAATATACCGTATAACACATAGTGCAAGCATTAACTCTGCAACATTCATCATTCAAAACCAGCAATAGATCAGTAGACTGAACACAATCACCCATCATACAGTCAAATTTGCACCAGGGACATTTCATGACAGGCCCCATAGATCAATCATATAACATCTGTTAATTTTAGTAAGTACTGTGTGGTTGAACTCTCATCTCTCCCAGGTAAACAGGAAACTTTTACTTGCTCTAACTTCTGTACATAAAACTTTTAAATCACCTGATGAGTTTTACCCAAGCACTCTCATGGGAAAGATGCACGCTTGTACTGGAGCTGGAAAACAAGCACTAAGTTTACTACAGAACAAAGGTCAACAAAACCTTTGTTTCACTGAAGTAATTAACACTTCTTTAAATTTAGTGTCTGGCATCACCATTTTTCTCTGGTGTATATCTCCACTCACTACATATGTCTGTCACACTTGTGCCAAAGTGACCAAGAAAGCCATTGTACACAGTACTGCAACTCTGCCTGGCCAAATTCTGCAGCTGTCTCATTCAGGTCATAATACATATGGAAAATTTTTTTAAGCAGGCAACATAATAAATACCTGTTACTTTTCAAACCTGAGTGTTTTTCAGTATCATGTTTTACAGATACATAAGTATACTGAAATAAAGACAAAGTATATGCCCTCAGTATGCAGCTGACTAGGACAAAAGCACCTCTTAAGTTACCAGAGGAACGTTCATGGTTGTTCAACAAATTAGGTTCAAATGATGAAATTTCTTCTCATTAAAGTCCAGTTATTAGAAATATTCATTAAGCTAAATTTTCTAAATATATAAGACATCATTACATTCTTACTCTATCCTTATCTATTTGGTAAATTACAACTGTATGAAGTATTATGATTCCTTTGCTTCATTCCCTTAACAATTTAAAAATTAATGTCATCAATTGGTTTGCAGACAAATTTCAAACCATTCACAAGCCAGGACGTTCACGTTGCATGAGAGCAAAGTTATGGTTTGTTTTGTTTGTTTTTAATAAAACCCAAGTTGTAAATAGTGTTTACTGAGAATTTATAGTGGCAAAAAATATTAGAAGTACACCATGAACAGCGTTACAGAAGCAATGGCATGGAGGTATCGTGGTATAACACACTCAGTGACAGTTAACATGGTAATACTAGGTTGTTTTGAAGAAAAGCACTTCCCCAATTTCTGCTACCCAAAGCTACAGGCAGGCAGTGGCCCCTGCTGAAAACAAATTTTAGCCACTTCCCAAATATGCAGAAACATTTACAAAGTAAAAAGCAAACACTACTTAAGAAATCATACTTTTGCATCTTGCAACTTAGTATAAAGAATTCTTTACAAAGTAAATGAAAAAAAAAAATTAACTGACTCCATCCTCTAACATTCTTCCACTTGATTTTTGCTGACACTAAATATGCCAAAGAATTGCAACCTCCAGATTGAGATAGTTTTATTTATTTTACATCTACCCACCAAAAGCATTCCTTAAACATGTTTCTAAATAAAAACAAACACATGCTATTGAGGCCTCTGGAGTTATAACTTCAATTTAAAACACTTTGCAAAAACATGCACCTAAAATAAAGTTCCTCTTAGAAGCTGGACCTAGTTCAAGCTAAACAAAAACATGAGTCACCCTTGAGGCTTCATTTATCCACGTTCTATCTTTTAATATATTCCCAAGAGAAATAATAATAACCATCATCATCATCCTACCAACCTCTCCCATTCAATCTCACAAAACTGCAGAAAACATGAAAAAATCCTACTCCACTGTCAACACTATGCAAAAACAAACCTGCAAACAACACTGAAAGCACTCGGAGGTAAAAGTATTTCTTGCAAAGCCGTTTGTAACGCTCAGTAGTAACTTCATAGCAACAATTTTTACAGTCGAGGAAAGAAGAGACCAACTTAATACATACAAAATTCCTTTCAGCTCTTGTAACAGAAGGTATGGGCTATGAACAACTGTTCTGAATTCAGCTGAACTACGTTAAAAGACAGTTTGAAAGACAAGAATTGCTGGCACCTGCAGGGCAGAGCAGGCTATGAGCAAAGGAAAATGTAAGAAAATTATAAGCCCCAGAGGGGAACAAGGAAGGGGAGTAATTATTGTCAGTGTAATTGAAGAGTTCAAAGGTGGTCATTAGGGGGAAAAATAATATGTCATAAACCCTGCAACTCTACTGAGCATGCAGTTGGTAGATCCCATTAGAATTAGGAGGTTTGTTCAAGGTTTTTGTTTTGAACGACCTTTGGCGACTCTTCTTTAGTGGTCAGAACTGATTCTTCTCCTGTTCTAAATAGGTCATGGTCTTCTCTCTTCACACCCACTCAATCTTCCACAGCTTATTCCAGTTTCTTTACTGTATGAACTGGTTCTGTCTTTCACACTTCCATCCCAGCTGCAGTTCTATTCCCATCATCCTCTGCCTCCTAGACTCACCTCAAAAGTTGAGGTGATATTCCAATACTCCACAGCCTATCAACTCCAAGTCTCCCCTCCTTTTCTTTCACTCTCAGCTTCTTCAATCCAGAGTCCTAGTCTCCCTGAATGCACACGTTTAACTCATCTTTTTTTCTCCCATCTCTGTTCTCAGCAATCACTATTTCCCCACAGTCACCTTCCAGATTCCCTTCCCATTCCCTCTGGCTTCCTATTCCTCTAATACTTACTGTCTTCTTTCCTCATGTCCAATTTTTGTTCTGTTGCACAGGAACCTTCTTTGGCACCACAAGCAAAAGCACTACTAGCAACCAAGAGTCTCCACACTGTCTCTAGTGTCTATTTACCAGCATCTCCCAAAATTGCAGGGCAAGTCCCTTCATTCTTACAGCTCTGAAACTGTGCAATCCCACAGCAGAAGAAAACTGAACAGCATTTAGGGATCAGATCCTGCATATGGTTGGTTGAAACTTTTTGAGAACTGGCATACTGAGGGAAAAATTATAGCCTGAAAATACCTAGGTGGGGAGCAGAAAAATGAAAATACATTCATAACCCAAGGAAAATTCTCTCCTGGATTTCAACAGTGTCTCCATATCCCAGAGCAGAAGAATTTCTCACAGGGCTTTTAAGAATTATTTTGTTCCTTTAAAATCTCTGCAGGAAAAGCAACGCACATTTCTTGATCTTGTCCTGAAAAGAGGTGATACTTACTGCTTCAGGCAGATACTAAGGAAGGAAAATTCCAGACCAAGTAGCTAAAACCTGGCAAAAGTAATGAGTGAATGATGAAAAGTTACATGGTTTAGTGAATAGACCACTGGACTGAATCTCCACAGATAAAAGTTATGAGGCAATTGTCAGCAAATCATTTCAATATCACTCAGTGATAACACTGGTGCTCAGTCAAGCAACTAGTATCAGCTGGCTAGAAGGCTGTGGAGCACTAATACTCCAATAACTCTGCAATTAGTTTGCTAGAATAAAAGAAAAAAATCTGCTCATTTGAAATATGAGATAATAATTCAAGAAGTATAAGCATTCGGAAGCCATTTTATGAACCAGATTTGTAGTGGGAACCAGTATTGAACTGAGGGAATTGCTCTGATACCACCATGCCCTCTGGAGACCCTGAGCTCTACACCCAGTCTCAGACAGCTCAGCCCCAGTCTCGGGAGCAGCTTCTGGGGGAAGCCCAGTGTGCAGTGGTTACAGGTTGCCAGAGTTAGACCTGGTACAAATCAAGACAGTACAAGTTCTTCAAAAGTACTCCACAGTGAATTCAGGTGACGTGGGTATTCAGCCTACCCAAAGAAATTCAGAACCTCCTTCTATCAACTTTTTTGTAGCACTGCCATATGAGGGTGTGAATGGAGCAAAGATTGCTGGCTTGCTGTGTTGCCTTCTTTCCTTTAGTGTTTTTTGTTTGTTTGTTTGTTTTTTCCCCTTCTGTTCAAAGAGTGATATACCAGCATCAAAGGATATGGAAGTCTGGACCAAACAAACCTTAAAAACAAGTATATGCATTTAAACCATGACTCCAACACAGAGTACAGGAATGAATTCTCTTTTTCTGAGCTGCACTGGCCTTGACTGGGAAAGAAAATGAGCATGGCACAGCAATTTGGATAAGGTGATGCTCTTGGTGCTTGTTTTGCCGATTCATTATTTGCTTCTGTTCATCTGGAGAATGCTATAGGAATAAATGGCCTGTGTGATACTGGATACTTCAGTTGCACAGAAAATGAGTGTAGAGGCTTTTAGGGAAAAAAAAAAAAAAAAAGGAAAAATCCTTAATGAATCACTTTTCATAAAGCTTCTTGGTTTCAGTTGGGGAGCTGTTCTTTAGATTGGCATGTTTACCCAGATGACTTCACTCACCTCTCTTTAAAACAGTTTACTTTCTTAAGCCATAATTAAAACCCAAACATTTTACATACTAACTGTGTTAATATAAACAACATTCTGAAATATGACTACAGCAGATATCTGGATTATTGCCATTCATTTTTGTTTCTCTGTTAATGAGCCAGAGTAGAATTTCATTTGTTCAGTACGACTCAAAAAAATGTATTCCCTCTGAGACACGCTAAATCCATAGCACATTCCAGCTGTAAAACAAACTAAGAAGAATTTTTATTACATGTGAATATATTTTTTTTTTCCTGGATTCATTTCTGATACTAAATGAAACTTCAAGAATCATAAGGTCTTGTATACTGAAATTCAGACTAGCCTAACTCCTTAAGTTCCTTCCAACTTGAATTATTTCATCAGCTTATGGTTTCAAAGTATATCTGTTCTGAAGTTCATCTATATCATTCTTTGAATCACTGAATCAATGTTATTCAGTTATTTGCAAGACCACATGGAGCTCCTCAAGTCTACAGGACAGGACACAGCAGGTATCTTAAGTTAATTTTGTTTCATGGACAAAATGAAGGCCTCCTTGTAGAGGCAAGGGACCACACAAACAGAAAAGAAGATATATCAAA